GAAAAAAAGGAATTATTTCATCGTTTTCCCCACGTTTTAAAAGTCCTGTTATTTCAATACTCAGCAGGAGAACGAACGAAATAACTTGCTATGTAGGGGTACTCAGTATTAGTTTTGCAAGTTTGTTCGCCTCGCGAAAAAAGGTAGACCTACCCCGACTAGGAATTCTCTGATTCGTAGTCAGAATCGATGCCTTAGTAATTAAGCTACAAGGGAAATTTGTTGGTATTTTTTCTCTTTATAGCCTGTCTGCTTTCTTCCTTTAGCTTCCAAAAACTTTGCTTAATGGATGTCGAGAGAAGCGATAATAAATATGACGGCAAAAATAAGTGCTTCAGGAAACTCAAGCGCTTCAAGACACTGGACACGGGTAACGAATCGGAAGTGCTTTGTAGTGCATGAGAATGAACATGGCGCTGCTTGATAGTGCATGCGCACTTAGGATTCCGGGTTCGAGTCCCTAGTTGTTTGTTGTTTCTCTCCTGTGCTTCGAGGGTTTTTCTCCTGGTTCTCTGGTTTTCTTCCCTCTTAAACTCTCATTCGATCATGGAACGAGGGCCTCAGGTTTCTTAACCACTGGCTATATTAAGTACTACCCTCGTAAAACAAGGACTATAAAGGAACATCAAATAACAAACTATTCTCTTCAAAATATAAACCGCAAACTCACTAGAAACAAAGTACAGGAGAACGTGTTTGTATACAATGAAAATATTGAAATGAAGTGCCCGGTTAGCTCAGTCGGTAGAGCATGGGACTCTTAATCCCAGGGTCGTGGGTTCGAGCCCCACATTGGGCGATTGAAATCCTTTTTGTCAAAATTCGGTTCCCTTGGTTTTCTTTTAGTGATTTCTTTATTGAAGCTGGACCAGATATCGAAACGCATGCACTCTGCGTGCTACTGCTACTGCTACGTGTTAAGGTTCCTGGTCTTTCTTATTTTTCCATGGAGGGGAGGAAAAATCTGCTAACCTTGGTTTTACCGGCGTTTGCATTGCTACGCGGCCACCCCAGACAAAAATCGCGACGTGCACTTTGCAATAGACTGCCGTCAATCAAACACGTTGATGCCAGTAGAAAAATTAGTTTTACTAAATAGTACAATTTTATTCAAATTCCATTGTTTTCTATTGTTTAATTAGCACTATCTTTTACTATTTAGTAAATTGCATTTCGTGGATATGTTGCTTCACTCTATTTAATATATTTTAGTTTTTTTTAATTATGAATTATACCTTGTGTTTTCTTTTTCCTATTTGATTATGTTTTTTACTTGGACTGATACATAAGAATTCTTCGGGTTTTGTGGACATTTGTGACCTTTATTACATTTGTGACCAAAGTTTATTACATTTGTGACCCTTATTACATTTGTGACCCTTATTACATTTGTGACCAAAGTTTATTACATTTGTGACCCTTATTATATTTGTGACCAAAGTTTATTACATTTGTGACCAAAGTTTCTTACATTTGTGACAAAAGTTTATTACATTTGGGTCCAGTTTTTACATTTATGCCTTCTACAAGGAATTAAAAAAAGTCTCCTTCAACACTTCCCGCTCGCCTACGAAGGTTCGTGCTGTAAACAAGGCATAACTAGTCGGATAAAATTATGGAGTCAACTCGGCTTCAATGATTGCTACCCAGAGTTCCTTTCGGTCCAGTCGCGTAGACTTGAGTTGGTGGACGACAACATTTTTTGAATTGACTGTTTATCAAATTACAAATTGCAACGACCCCGCCAGGACTCGAACCTGGAATCCCCTGATTCGTAGTCAGATGCCTTATCCATTGAGCCACGGGGCCGTTTTGATGACACACTATTTAGTAATGGTAGTAAATGATATAGAGTTCATATAATCTGTATAAACTACAGGTTTCAGTGTAGCCCATGAAGTCACCTTCAACACAAGAGAAAAGCATTGTGGGATATCTTGATTTTTTAGTAACTGAAGTCTCACGGCATTGCACACAACAGATAAACTCGCCAGAAAATTTGAACTCTTGGAATTTAACAAAACTTTATGAGCTGATTTGTAATAAAACACACACAAAACATCGGGAAATATTTCTAAATTTACTGTTTTCTTAAATAAACGAATGCCCTACAAATGGCTTGAGTGACTTTTTTGTAATTATATTATTGGATCAGTTAAACCTAAAACACTCATTTTTAGATACTCTGGATACACGGGACTGGCGCGAGAACGCGAGAGGAAAAGGAAGTAGGAAACCATGACGAGAAAATGAAATGGAAATGTCGTGAGTATTTTAGATATACTCTCATATGAAATGGCATTCATTGAACTTAATCTATCAATCTATCTAATTTCAATTTAGATTGGTCGTCCATAGATTGATCACACCCTGCTGCTATATATGAAAAATAAGACAATGCTCTGTTTTAGTAAAAGGAAAAACCAATATTCGTGAAGGCAGAATAAAAATATTAAACTCTCGTAATGAAATGGGATTTCATTAAAACTTAATAACGAAGTACACTGATTTTGAGACGGATCAAAAACAAAACACTTCAAAAGCACGTTATTAAAATAATAATAAAACCAGCTGTGTATTTTTGGAATGGCAACAAACCTACAGGCAACACAACCCGACTACATAAAAGATTTTGAAGTGATCACATATCGGTGGAAGTTCGAACTCGAGGTCATGCCAGCTACAAAGGAAATCATTTTTTCTGTCGTACTTTCTGCTGTTCTCGTCTTCAACATAGCAGGAAACTCCCTCGTTATTTACATCATCAGGAATGAACGAGGAATGAAAACAACCACAAACTATCTGCTGCTAAACTT